TGTACTTATAATTGTGCTTGAACAATATTTCGCACATGCAAAAACCATGTCTTGAAGACACAATTAAGCTAAAAATCCGAACAAAAACAAAAAATTTAGGTAGCAAAACGTAAGTTTCTAACCAAAAATATTTGACAAGAATCCATGTATACAGTGATACGTTTTAACTTAACAAAACATCTACAAATTGCACATTCTAGGGCAGCGAATGAATCTACGAAACTGTGCACACCTCACTTCAATAAATTTTCAAATAATACCATGTACACAGCATTATGTTTAAATTTTAAAAAAAAATCTACGAATTGCACAATCTAGGCATTGCACACATATCAAACCGAAATATAAACTAAACTAAATTGCAAACAATTCAAAAAAACAAAAAACAGCAATAAATAAAACAGAATTCATACTAAAAAAAAAAACCATAGACAACATTCTTGCACTTACCATAATATTTCCTGAATAAAATTTCGCCAGTCACACAACGTCTCTGAACAGAAGTGTGGCAAATCGACACAAGAAACTATCAGAAAAAGTCCTTCGTCCGAGTTCTCATAGAAGCTCCGCATTTCGGACTCCGTTTAAAAAGTTGCACACAAATTCAAAAATACACTTCAATCCTCATAAGCACACCCATGAAAAAAAAAGACTCGTTAACAACTCCCAACATCGTACCTTTTAATACTAAATTTACATTCCACACCATCTGAAATACGTGACTGAAATCTTGCCATCGCGTCTATCATTGCAACATAAGCCATTTCAAAACACGCACGACACGAACCAACGAGCAATTAACCCTCTCACTGCATAAATTTTTTATCAAAATAGATTCAAAAATTGCATGTTTTTTATTACATATTTCAAATCTACATATATTTTTTTAGTTAAAATATGCAAAAAAATTTTTGTAAAAGTTTTTTTTTTTTTTGTTATATAGAAATAGATCATAGAAAAAGGTTGTCAAAATACTGAAATTGAAGGTTTGGTTTGGTTTGGTTTGGTTTATTTAATAATGGCAAAGCACACTAGGACTATCTGCCTAAGTATAGGGATGCCTTCGTGAGGGACTTTCTGAGGGAAACTGGCTCGTATACACGTTACACATGGGGAAAACCACGAAAACGCCCATGCAGCCAGCCCGTTCACGGGATCCGAACCTCGGACCGAACTACCAGTGTTCAGCAACTTAACTGCTCGGATGCTGGTGGGCCCTAAAATTAAAGAATAATGGGTACTTTTCCGTTTCGCCGGCGCAAATCTCGCCAAGCAGACTTTATGGCGACAACATACAGTATACATAAAAAATATTTAAAAAATGTTACTCCTAAGAATTCTTTTTTTGAAGGCATAAACATTTTAATATCGCTTAAAATTTTTATAAAAAGCCAATAAATAAAGACAATTAATTTATAAAAAGACATTAATTTAAGAATTTACTATGCTTTCAAGGTTCAACATCCTGTTTCGCCGGTTCATATCCCGTGACCCCAAGTGATCTCATCTCACGTAAACTGCTCTACAAAAATATAATGCTCTCAGTAATTATCTACATTAATTTCAAGTTAAATCTTAATTTGGAACACAAGTTTAAATGCAAGAAATACTTCAGTTCGTACAAATAGCTTGCTCAGAAAGTATGTAAAACTGCAGTGCTTTACTTCGCTAATGCATTCTCATTAGAATTGATGAATTTAACCCTTGACTTTACCTTTTCTATTTCGGCTTCGGGTAAGCTCTGTGATTGCATCCTAATTGATTTAATTGCCGAAAATGGCCTTAGACATAAAACTGAACTATCTGAATAAGGCGTAAAAGGTTACCACCAAGAATATTCCGTTTGGCATCGGTTGTACCATTATTGGCGACTTTATCGCTTGTGCCGGCAAAACGGAAAAGTACCGAATAATGATATGAAAGGAAAATTCTGAAAATTAATATTGGTTAAATTATGCTTTATTTTATAAAATACAAAGGTAAAACATATATACTAATGAAAATATTTGCATAATGTAATATTTTGCACCACTGTGCAACATTTTCAATAGAAACTGAATTTTCAGATTCATCATTATCTGCAAAGGAATCCGAGAAATTCTCATCAGTTTCGCTATAACTATCTTCAATATACTTGAAATTCAAGTCAAAACTATTATCAGTGTCGGAAATATCGTCAGGAATCTAGGTTATATCACTCGCGAAACGCTTCCTGCCAAAGACATCTTTGAACTCTGAAAAGCGCGTGCAAAATGCATTAGATTACGTATTTTTGTATATTTGGCAGAAATGTGGACAACTAACGGCCATCTGTTAGCCCCACATCTAAATAAACTCAATAAACAATTAAACATCACAGAAAAGCCGAAAGGAAAAAACATTGAACTAGGAAAGAAGCAGGTTGCACAATTAAATAGATGGCAAAAATTCATTCCCGTGGTAATCGCAGGCTGCGCAAATTTTTTACGTTGCTATTTGTACGTTGCCGTCGAAATCGCTGGATGCGCAGCGAGAGGGTTAAACTACTCAGCAAAAAATTTTTCAACATCAACAGGGTTGCCATGCATCATGCAGTCGTGCCAAAAGCCAGCTCAGGACACATATCGCCACATTTGGTGATATTAGGGGCACATATAAGAGTAGAGCCGAAAAATATAGCTGTTGAGGCATATCGTAAAAGTTAATGTAGTAATAGGTCTTTTCCTGTAACTTTGGTCAGGGATGGCAATAAACAAAAATCACTGTCATAATTAATAAATTACAGAAAATTCATTGTGAATTTATGGGCATTTTCAGTTTTTATAGTACAGAAATGAATTATTTCAGATAAAATACTGTCATTATGTGTTTGGCTAATGTTCTAAAATATATTATGAAGGTATAAAATTCGATAATGTAAATTGCATGAAATTGGATAACATTGTAATCAAAATACTATGATAATCAAGGAAAAATTTAACAGTAATTTTTTTATATAAAATACCAAATTCTCACTTTTTTTTTTTTTTTTTTTTTACAAAAATTGACAGTACAAATTAATGCTGTCGATAGCATAATAATAAAAACTTTTTAAAAATTTCAATCAGTTCTAACTGTCTGGATCCCTATGAAAAGTCGGTAACTCACTAGTGACTGTAAATTGGCAAAAAAAATGTGTTTGGCTGATTTTCTAGTTCATAAGTATTATTATATTTGCCAATAATACTGAAAAGAAATATAAAGAAAAAGAAAATTTTTATGGCTGATATTTACACTTTTACAGTTGGTGGATAATGTAATATTAAGTCCAAAATTCGGACTTTGGTGATTATGGATTTGGGATTTTTCCAGATATTAGATCATCAGTTTAAATCTAGTTAGATGACATGTAGAAATTATAAAATTACAAATGTAAAAGTGTTTATGAAATTATGTCAAAAAAGAGTTTCCAATTCTTGAACTGCCTAAGAATCTACAAAGCAAAAGCATGTTTTGATGTCCATCAAACAAAAAAGTGGAATTGCTGCAAAAAATGGATGAGATGAAGACATATCCGTCTCAAAATTATGCGAGGAGAGGAGTATGACATTGGAAAGTCAACTGTATATGACGTAAGCAAAAAGAAAAAAGGAACTTTTTTTAAATTTTTTGTGGATTCAGACACCCCACTTGCAATGAATAACAGAAAAGTGTTGTTATGCTAAAAATGACAATCATGACAAAGTGATGATAAATGGGTCAGTGTCGCAGCGAGGGCGTGCCATTGACGGGGTCCAATGCTAATGGCTCAAGCCAAAATATTTTATGAAGAAAGAAATAAACACTGAGTGTCTCTTATTCGACAGGTTGGTTAACCAAATATAAAAATCGCCGTTGTGCAAGACAATTAAAAATTTCAGGTGAAAAAAGCTTCAGCTGATACTGAAGCTGCTGAACAATTTGCAGATGAATTCATTTTTTTAAACTCATTACTAGTGAAAAAATCTTCAGAACAAATTTACAATGCTGATGAAACTGTTCTTTTCTGGCAATATGTACTGCGAAATGCCTTGGCAACCTCTTTTGTATCTAATGGTTCTGTGAGACTAAAGGTGCATCCAAGAGATAATAAGAGGTTTTGTAAACAATAACAGCATTTATTTATAAGAAAATATATGAAAATTTCAATCAATTGGAGATATATTATTAGGCATCTCTGCCTTCCATGTCCTACACCTTTAGTATCCTGCCTGCCACTGACTATTGAGACGAACACAGCGCCCTCTAGTCAGAATGACGCTGGTGGAAATATGTAATACTTCCCCACCTGAACTCACTTGAGTTCACTTACCATTGAATATTAATTAAATTTACAATCAGGAACCATTTAAAATTACAAGAAAAAAATATAAATAGCATATTATATCAAATACAAAGCTTCAAAATTATTTAGTCACTTGACATACAAAAACAAATTACACTTTTAACTTCCAAAGAAAATTCTTCAAACATCAAGCCTTAAAATATAAGCACACTTAAACTATCATTAATACACAGATAGAACATTTAACAGGTTGCAACTCAATTAAACTAACACAATTAAGGATTAATTTCCAAATTATACACAAGTTGTGCTGAGCATTTTATTTGTCCTTTAGGAGTCTGAATAAGAAGAGAACGAACTTTTCCATCTCTTCCTGGATATAGCTCTAAAATTTTCCCCATCATCCACGTATTTCTGATCTTAGATTAAGTAAATATTCCTTTCTCTCTGTTTCAGAAGTGATTCAAAAACGTTTGTTGATATTTATATTTCTTTACCAAAGAATTCCTATTAACATTTAAATTTTCATTTTTATGTTTTATTACAGGTAAAGACACCAACCTTTTACCAATAAGAAAATGAGATGGGATGAGTGGAGAGGGTTCTGAGGGTTCGTTGTACAGATAACGTGATAGGCCTGGAATTAACCAGAGCTTCAATTTCCGAAAAAAGTTTCCAATTCCTTCAAAGAGAGAGAGGATCGTCCAACAATTTTCTTTACGCAGGTTTTAATCGTTCGTATCTGTCTCTCCCAGAAACCTCCCCACCATGGACTTTTTTCAACTATAAAATTCCAAACTATACCAAATCATGACTTACAGCATCTGATTTCGTTAGTACATAGATGCTGGGAGTGCTCCCACTCCTGGCATCAGCCCCATATGCCTTGGCACTGGCGTCACAAAACACATGAAGAGAAACTTCACTTATTTCTACACTCTCAAAAAACCTTTTTTCAATAGATAAGTTCACAAAGTTCAGAACACCATGTTCTCCATTTATTTTGTAGGTCACTTGACAAATCTTCATCCCATTGTAGACCACGTTCCCCCATCTCTTCCAGAAGAATTTTTACAGTGATTACAAAGGGACTAATCAGTTCACATGGATCAAATATCTTTGAAATAACTCTCAAAATGTGACGCTTGGTGAAGCATCTTCAACGGTATTGGCTCCATAGCAGAGTTCATCAATATAAAGAAAAGAATTTAACATGTCATAACATTTTGGATGATGTTCCTTAAATTTCTTAATGTGAAATTTCAAAGTGCAAGCCAAGGAAAATGGCTTTTTCAAGGAAAATGCTTTTTAAAGTAGTTAAACCGAATGGGAGACTATTTAAATGGAGAGTTTCGGTTGAATCACCTACCTCTTCGGGAAACCACAAAAATTTAAGGTATTTTCTGTCTTCCTCCGCAATCTCTATCATAAGAAAAGCTTTCTCTAAATCTCCGCAAAATGCAACTTGATATTCTCGAAGTTTAAGAATTATGTCCAATAAATTTGCATAAAGATTTACTCCCAATTCTAGAGACTCCTCAAGAGATTTATTATTTTCATTAGCCTTACTGCTACAGTCATAAACAATTCTAACTCGAGTTGTTTCCTTGTCATCCCTAATTACTGCTCTGTGGGGTATATAATATCCTGAATTTTTATCTTCATTAACACATTTTCCCACAATCTGACATTCTAACTGATCCGATATAATTTGTTTATACTGGTCATAAATTTCTTGATTTTTATTTAGTTTGTGCTTTAACGAATCAAAACGCTTTTTTGCAACCTCATAATTAGAATTCAATCCAACTGCAGGTCCCAAGTTTTCCTTCCACATCAATCTACAAACATACCTTTCCCCATTCAATTCCAGACAATTTTCAAATTTTTCAATCAATTGATTGTCTCATTCAGAAAAGTTTTGTTTGTCTGACTGAAATTCTTCTGTTTCCCAAAATTTTTTCAAATCGCACAAAATGGAAGAGTCCATGACTAAACATACATTTTCATAATTATTACTCAATTTATTACATCCTTCCACTCCCGCTAATAACCAACCGAAACAAGAATTTATCGCAGTAATGTTTTCATTTAACTTTACTCTCTTGTCATAACATCCCAAAATGAATTACATCCGATAAGAATTTCCATCTGACAGTCTCCAGAAAATGAATCAGCCAAAGGTAAACCTCTTTCCTTCAAAGCATTGCGAATAGATACATCAGGAATTTTCAAGGACAAATTAGATATATATTCCATTATGACAGCTTCTAATTCGTACGATTTCAAACTTTGATCCTTATTGCACAACGTCAATGAAACGATACCATGTTCCTTCTCACGTGCCATTTTGTCTCCGAAAGCAAAAATATCTATTCTTTTGTAGCGTATTGGCTTTAATTTTAATTCTTTAACTAATTGAGATGAAATAAAACTTCGATGACTACCATTGTCTATAATAACATTAGTTAAGACTGAATTTTTATCCGAACAGGCAAAAACTATACATGTATGTAAAAAGGGCTTATTTTTGATACATATATTACTATGAGACACAGAGAAATATTCTCGGCGTTTTTATTAGATTTAGATTGGGAGTCATTTTTAAAACAGTTTGCTTTCCACTTGCTTCTCGCAAACCTTTCAACATAACATTAACTGGTTTATTTTTTTTACACACTGACTCATGATGAAAAATTGCTTAAACAATTTTTACACGATATTTTTGCCCTACATTCGCGAGACATGTGATATTTTTTAAAACAACACCAGCATCTAGCTTCAAGTCTTTAGCTTATTTATTTTTGTTCTACATCCAATTTCTTACAACTTACGGAATCGTGATGACCTGTCACAGAAAAAACAAACAAATTTTATTTGTGTATTTAACGCTGAAGCAGTTAGTTGATATATTTTTAGGCTTTGAATAGTTTTTCTGATAAGTTTGACCACTTTGATAATTTTGAGAAAAAGATCGTTTCGTTTCCTAACGTTTTAGGGGGCTCATCACAGTTTCGGCAATTTCCCTAGATTCGAACTTCATTCCTCAAAAACTTTAATAATTTCCGAAACCTCACAATTCACTTCCCTGTTTCGTTTTCGGTTGGTGAAAATCTAACACCAAATCTTGTGGTAGCAACTTCAATAATACTGGATTCAATAAATGCCCATATGAACCCTCCGTTACATTTAATGAACGGAAATTTCCTATATTAACTTCTATTTCATTGTATAATTTACGCAAACCCTTAACATTAGACGAACATCTCACGGGTTCTAAGCTTAATAATTTAGTCATGTAAGAATTTATAATAGAATCAGTTCTACTATATCTTTGTTTTAAAAGCTCAAGACATAAGTCATAGATTTTCTCATTTAATTCAAAACCCGCAACAACGTTATATGCAGGACCAGAAAGAAGAGATTTTAAATATTGGAATTTTTCAATTTTCGTAAGTGAATTGTTTGAACCAATTGTGCTATCAAAACAGTTTAAGAATTCCATAAATTTGCTAGAATCACCAGAGAATCGTGAAATTTCTAACTTTGGTAACTTTTTAAAGCCGTAAAGGTGTTTTCTGAAATGCTAGATGTGTTAAGAACTGAAGAAGTCCGCTAAACATTTTCTGCTGCTAATTCTTTAATTTTATCTTAGCGAACAATATTTTGTCATTGTATTCTTCCGAAGCTTTTAATTCACTTTTAAATTTTTCCGGATCGTCTATGAGTGCTTCGACCTCTAAATCAGCTTTTCAAGATCTGCTCCTTTGTTTCTAATAGTTCCAGTAGTTCTAATAATGAACTTACGTCTTCGACAGCTTCATCGAGGTTCTGCACTCTTTTAACTAGTTTAGTAACACTAGCGCGAACGTTACTTCTTTTTTCAATTATTTTCGAAAGCTTAGCCACATTAACTCTGAATTTGTGAGTTCAAAAGATCTTACCTCCACAGTCCAGTATGCAATGTTACGTAACCAAAAGCGTACGTGCAGTATCCAAACTTCTCAGAAATATAATCCAGTAATGATGACTAATTACTTCTGATATTCCACATTCGAGAACAAGATGCACCAATTTTGCATCTAATGGTTCTGTGAGACTAAAGGTGCATCCAAAAGATAATAAGAGGTTTTGTTAAACAATAAAAACAACATTTATTTACAAGAAAATATATGAAAAATTTCAATTAATTAGAGATATATTATTAGGCATCTCTGCCTTCCATGTCCTACACCTTTAGTATCCTGCCTCTGCCATTGACTATTGGGATGAACACAGCACCCTCTAGTCAGAATGGCGCTGGAAATATGTAATAACCTCTACAGAAAAGGCTCCAACTGGTGTCAAAGATTCCAAAAGCGAGTCTAGTTATTTTAGTGTGCGTAAATGCTGCAGGAATGCACAAGTGCAAACTTTTGGTAATCTGAAAAACATGTACGACAACGTCGAGCATTTAAAGGAGTAATGATTTTCCCACATTATATATCGTGCAAATAAAAAGAGCATGGATGACACAAGAATTAATGAATGATTGGTTTGAAAATCATTTTATACCCGAGGCTCAGCGACATTTGAATTCGGTAGGTTTACCTGATGACTCAAAAATTAGTCCCGATTGTTGACAACTGTTCGGCGCATACTTCACTTAAAATTTTAATGAAAAATAATGTATCCGTATTCTTCTTCTTCCAAATTGTACTTCTATCATTCAGCCTATAGATATGGGAATAGTTCACACACTGAAATGCACAAATATAAAGTAGCATTTTTAAAATCTATGTTAAATTACTTGAACAATGGCAAGACTTTGAAATTCATTAGCATAAAATCTGCTGTTTGGAGCATCGCAAGATCGTGGGAGGATGTGTCTCCAGATACGTTAAAAAATGCTTGGCATAATTTATGGCCAGCTACCATATTTCATGGTGAGAACGATAAAAAATTTTGATTGACAAGTTAGTCGGTATTCTCGACACAGCAATTACAGAACTTGAACAGTGAACTTTGTAACTGAATAAGAAATTGTCTGTTTATAGAATTAAAGAGAAAGTATTATCACAAAAAACGAAGCAACTTAAAACAACTTACATTGAAAGAAATGTTTAATAAAGTAAACAAATAAATATTAAGCTTTTTTTGTAAATTTTGATACCCTTTAGATCATAATTGCTCTTATTTCATAAATTACAGTTTTCATATTTTTAATTATAATTTCTGCATGCCATCTTACCAGATTTAAATTGATGATCTATAATCTGGAAAATCACTGAACACTGTTAGTTTGATGCAGGTTCAAATCCTAGGAAGCAGGCTGTCTCCATTAGTTTTTATGTATTCTGTCATGCCTTACATAAATATGAAACAGTAACAGTTTCATTTAAAAAAGTTTTCCCACGAAGGCACTCTTAAGCAGATAGCATGCATATGGTTTACCATGATTTAAATAATCCAATCCAGTCTAACCATAAGAGTTAGGATTAAATAATCATGGAAGTTTTCCATGTAAGATTATCATTAAATTTGAAATGTATTGTACAGCGAAAGAGGCTGATGTAGAAATAGTGTTTATTAAGCTGAGATTAAGTTTTAAATGCTGCTAATACAATGGCTTCTAGACTCTTATAAGGTCTAAACCAATAAGTTCTTGACTTTTTGACATGATGTTGATTAATAATGATATTCTGCATTAGCTGTTCTTGCACAGTTAGTAATTTAGTTATGCAGTTTTTGTACTAAAGCCATATGAGTAAAATTTAAAAAATAGTTTATTTTTATATTGTCCTTTTGTGTGAAATTTAATATTTGTCAAAGTATGGTTATGACATGCAAAACTTATTTTTCTCTCAATAAATAAAAAGCAAACAAAGAATTAGGGACTGACAAATTTAATAAAGGGCTCGCGCAGTCCCCCTGTAGCTCTTTGCATATAGCTATTTGTGTAGCGTGCAACAATTGTAATAAAATGAAATTGGTTAATTATGCTCTCATTAAAACAATACCAATATACTGTCAAAATAAATTGTTAGAAGCACTTTTGCTGTAATTAATCTGTTCCCAAATGTTACTTCATGTGCCATTCTTAAAAAGCTATGTATTGATTAAAGAAGTGATAAAAATAAATGTAATCTCTGTCTTGATGTATGAGAACATGAAATATCTTGTATTGGAATGTTAATTTTTTAATACATATTTAAATCTAATTTGATAGAAAGAAAAAGAAAATGCTTTTCATAGAAAATTAAAAGCTCAAGTGTTTCTCTTGAGAATTATTAATCTGTTCTTTTTACATTTCTGCCAGAAAAGGTACATAATAATTATTAAATTTAACGTATCGATATCTTAGTGTCACCCCATTTTAACTTTCAGGATAATTATTTTAGTCGCATGTGGCTATTTATGCCAAGCAACTGGACATATTTGTGTTTATTAAATATTTCTTTAAGCATTTAAATTGTCAGCATATGTTTTTCTGAATAAAGTTTTGTACATGTGCTGTTAAATGCTTTTCTTTTATTTTCAGGAGTTTGTCCAGATCATCTAAAGTTTCCATGTGACTCTGTGTTTATCTGTGTTGTCTGTGTAACTGTCAATAATACTGCTTGCATTTATTTTATTTTGTGGTGTGTAAAATCAGTACAAAAATGGAAATTGCTCATACTAAAACTCGTGAAGAAATATTAGAGCAATTCGGAACAGATCCAGAAAGGGGTTTATCACCGACTCAAGTTAGAAATTTACAAGAGAAATATGGTCCCAATGGTGGGTAATATTATTATACTACTAATTTTTTAAATATGTAAATATCTAGACAGTTGAGCACTTAAAATCAGCTGTTGTGATAAATCTTTTTTCTAAACTTTATTATATATATAATATATATATATATATATATAGATATGCTATAGGCCTACATGCTTTATTGGGCTGTAAATTCTGTTAGTTAGATGGTCATGTACAACATCAAATCTACTCGTAATTTGAATATCCAAAAAAATGGAATGAACTTTTGTATCAGCCTTCATACTGGTCAGTTTTGACTGTGATGATAATAAGAAAAATAAAAATCATTTTCGTTTGCACTTAGCATAAACGTTATTAACAGTAACAATGGGAAGAAAAAAAAGGATGTAGAAAAAAATTTGTTAATTGCATATAATACAAGATTATTAACATTAACAACTATAAATAGTTTACATCTTACCAGCTCAGTGTTTTTGTAGTGAGAGAAGTTTAGAAGAATGGATCAAATTTCACACTGAAGTCTGGATGGGAAAGGCATTTAGCATTTTTCATGCTGTTAGATGTTTTTAATAGACAAAGATACTTATTTTTTTTTCTATTTATTACTGCTCATTTCTCATTCAAATCTGTGATGATTACACATAGATTTAAAATTTAGATTTTATTTTTAAACTATAACAGCTAGAGCATTAGGAAACTCCATTTCACATCTTGAGCATTGATTTACAAATTTATTCCTATATGATTTCACCTATCAAGAGGAAAAAGGCATGATCTTCTATTAAAAGCAAGAAGAGATAACCAGAATTCTTAATTTCTGATCACATATTTTTTTTTGCTCAACTTTACCTTCCCAAGTAGTCTATGACACTAATTTTAGAAAGATATTAAGGATCTTCCCAAAAATTCAAAGGTGTCAATTCTGCGTTCTCTTTTATCTCTGCAACCAAATTAATAAAAGAATGTCTCGTAGAATTTACTTCAAATATATTTGATCTATTCGGTAATGTAGATTAATGATATTTAAAAGAAAAAATTGTATTTCCTGTACACATTGGAGTTTAATTTTGACGGCATAAATCTAGGAAATGTTTTTCTTCCTATGCTGTAAATATTTTTTTGCATATTTTATTCAGACGAAACTCATTTGTCAGCTTAGAATAGTGTCTCCCTTTTTACCTTTCAGTTGATTTGTTAAGATTAAAAAATTGCTTCCATATCAACACTTGCAACATCTTCTGATGCTAATATAAAACATTTAAAAGCTGTCGTGGTAAGAAAGTTAGGAACTAAACTACTTAAATAACATACGTAATAATACTATTAAACTACTAGCATTATTACACATATTTCTAAGTTTGTGGAAACTCCCATTTAACCTGGCGATAAAAATATATTTTGCCGTTCTATGCGCACTTATATATATCACATTGCGTTTGTATATGCATTGCAATGCGGTTAATGGGCGGCAAACAAAACCTAGCTTTAATCTGGGAATAGCAGTCGGTATAATCTACTTATTTCTAACTTATAGGCACAAGAGTTGCTAATCAGCAGTTTAAGTATTCATTTCTCTCGTTTAAAATTTGTATCTCGTCGAATCCTGTCATATCCAATGACAAAATTAATACCGCTAATAAAAATTATAACACAAAGACATCTGATATGGATACCACATGCCTTCCTTGTACGGCCTATTCATTACACACATTTTAGCTGCATTTCATTTAAACTTATTTCCTCGAATTTCATTAGAGATGTATTTCTCATTCAATTAATTCAGTTGTCACTTCGCGGAAAGGCAAAAATACATAAAACTCAAAACATATTCATTAAAAATAGGAAAATACAGAAAAACACAAAACTCTAAATACATTTAGAACAGATAACAAAATTTTTAACAATTGTATTTACAGTTTCTAAGCAAAAACAAGCATTTCGGCTAGCGGACAACAATGTATATATTTTAGCTCATTTAAATCCTTAACCGGAATATAATTCAATCACTTTTAAAGCAAAAAATGCACTTTTTACCAACATATAAGACTACAAGACTGAGCTCACCGAGGCTGGTACAAAAGTGTGTGTGTGTATATATGTATTTACTTTTGGTAAGGCCGATTGCAACCAAAAAGGAAGGTGCATAATTACATGATTCAGCAGTCCAATATACAAAATTTCAAGGTTCTGAAGCTACTCATTTTGAGTTACGCGAGATACAAACGTACGTACGCATAGACGTCACGAAAAATATCTTTTCTGAATCCATTTTTCAATCCGTTTTGGGAAAAAGAAGCCTTTATTATGCCCGTACGTAGAGAGTAGAGATGTCACACAAAAATATCGTTTTTTTTTTTTTTAAATGGATTCGAGAGTGGTCAAAATGGATATTTTCGTTTTAAATACGATACCCTATATTTTTTATGATTACTATACTTCTTTTACTTAATCCAAGGAAGTAAAGAATATTGTAAAGTAAAGGAACGAAAATCAGTTGAATGATATGAGAAGGAAAACTATCACACTGCACTGTTTCAATAATTGTAAAAGATAAATCAAGTAATGGAGACAGTTACGGGGCAGTTAATATGCTGTGAATAATTTTAATGAAAAGAAAGGTTAGTTTATGCGATGGAGAATATTTTATTCATGTGTGTTTTCTTAAATACTTTTTGTATTAACAAAATGTATATATTTACTCAATTACTTATAAATGTTTATGTAAATTTATACATCCTAAAAGTGTTCAATTAAATAGAAATCTAATGTATGAAAATATTACAACACAAATCAAAGAAATCGAGGAGAGAAAGGATTTCTCAGCTAATAATAGAACTGATTTACGAACAGAAATGTTGGAAAGCAACTCGTTGCAAGTCAAGGACAGCCTGTAGTTATATTAATTAAATATGAATATAAATAATATCACTAGTAAATTAATATTTTACGCTATTAAAGCATTATTATCCTTTACATTCTAACTTAATGCTCTTAAAAGATATATTGGATAAACTGAGGGAAAATCATCAAATAGACAACAGTGTAAATAAATAGTTTACAGATGTCAATAAATAGGTTAAAAGTATCAATAAATATTTCACAAAGGTTAATAAATAGGTTACAAGTGCCAATTAGTAGTTAAGTGTCAATAAATAGGTTACAATGATAATGTTGCTACCTGCTGTAAATAGTATAAAAATAAAACCATGAGTAGTTTAAAAAAGTGCCACTAAATAACTTCATACTGAATTAGTAAAGCCACAGGAGGCCCACAAGTCATCCTGAGTTCACATATAAACCCCGATGTTATCGTGATAGAAAATTATCCTGTGACTTAGCAGACCTGCATATTTTCGGCAAATTGATGAAAAATGGTCAGAAAATGCAATATTATATCATGGTATGGTGCAACAGTCACAGCCATTGGAAGTGGATGGTTATTTTGATTAAGACAAAAGAGGAAAGGAATACCTTTATGAGGACATTCTAAGGGGATATCGGTTCTTATCCACGTTACAGAAGGCAAAAAACAAAATGCCTGCGTAGTCAGCTCGTTCAACTGAAATCAAACCCATGTCAAACTACTAGCGTTTCAAGTCTTTTACCGCTTGGCCGCTTGTGGGCGCCTTCTGGAAGAGAACTTTACAGCTCTAAAAACGCGTGACATCCTATTGCTACTCAAAGATCTGTAACATTGTTCATTGAGTCCGTTCAATGTATGATAATGTTGCTACTTCTTGATATTATTTGAAACTACTCACGGTAATTTTACTATTCCACAGCATTCTGAAAACTATTCAATGACCTGTTCGCTTTCATAATGATAGACTAGTATGTTTGCAATATAAAATGCAAAATTTCACCCCTTTACAGGGAGAGGAGGGCGAACTGAAATGGTATGTTGTTTTTTTTTTTTTTTTTTTTTTTTTTTACATAACAAAATACAGATGTATTCTGCTTTATTAAAGTTTGCTTTAAGACATTCCACTTATATGACAGAATTCAACTGGTATCTTTTTCGGTTTATAAAAGAAATACAATGAAGATTTTTGCTTTCGCGAAGAAAGGTGAAAAGGGAATATATCATTTAATATTTATTTTATACAATGTTTAAAAAGGCGTATGATTTAGTTTTGAAATAATTTATTAGACTCTTTTGCAGAACGTTTCGACGACATACGAATAATCTTACAATAGGAAAAATGTGTTATTCTGAACAGTCAAGCCTTACATCCAGCATTTCCCGTTGAATTATTAAAAAAAGATAACGCACGAATCATGAAAAAACTGAGTTCACAATATTAGTTCTGGTAGGCATGAAAACAGCAGAAACAGTGATCTCTTGACTATAAGAGGATTTACCTTCCTCTCTTTGTTGTAACTGAATGCTTTGATCTGCCATAATCTGCAGGGAACATATCTGAATACCTTGATAAGCTTCAGGCGAAACTTCGACGATTCAGCATAATACATTATCTACTATATAGGATTTTCATGTCTTTTTGGGTCAAGGTGGGTCAAGGTGAAACTATACTACATTTTACTATTTTTTTTCATTAAAACTTTCTATATGTCCTACTATATCTTTCGAAATTATTTTAAATTTTGAAAAACGCTTGGAGTTATTAAATGGACGTTTTTAAAGAGTTAGAAGAGCTCAAAGTCTTTTCTTAAGCATAATAAATGCCCAGTAAGACTTCTATAAGACGGGTAATAATGACTCCACACCATTATTATTATTATTATTATTATTATTATTATTCCATTATTAATATCATTATTAGTATTAGCCCAAAAGGTATTAGTCCAGAAGAGCTATTAATTTCGTTTTGTCATTTTGTGTTGAAAACATTAAATGTCGCTTCACTTTTCAAATTGTTGCCACCAAATATTATCGCCTTGTGTTATATTTAAAGAAATTAAATAATGAAGAAGAATCTGCATAAATAAATGTATGTTTTCGCATTGTGATAAAAGAACGGTACCTAGAGCCCTCCAATTTTGAATAACGTAATC